CAGTGTCACTGGCCCTCATATGTGGGATCCGAACCGGGGCCCTCTGGCATCCCAAGCGAGTTCTTAACCATCGCGCCACTCGGCCGGCCCAAGAGCTTTTAAATAGAACACATTTGTTTTATGTCAACGCTAATTGAAAAATAAATTTAAATAAATAAAATAGAAAATATTTGTTAACTCTGCTGATCAACTCATAACTGAAATACAGTTAAAATGAGGGAAACACATAAAGCTTTTTTTATACCATATATGTATCTATATTACACATATCTATTACATGACATACCCATGTCAAAACCTTACAAATGCATATGTTTGGGGTAGGAAAGCATCAAAATTGTTTCCTTTCATCTAGGTCTAAAGTCAGGGAGGCTCACTTCATGGGCATGTGACCAGTGTACTCACATAGGACTCAGAGCACTTGGGGTTTAATGCTCTGTGGGTGCCATCTTGAAACTCTTAATTTTAACTTAGAATTGCTGTTTTGTAAGTGGAATGCTGCAAGTCAGTTGAGCATGCACCAAAGCCTTGGAGCCCTGGCTCACATGTAGTCCCACCTCCTGTTGCCTCCCCACCTTGCCAGGAGGGGTTCTCAGCTGCCTGCTCCTCCACTCTCGGTCACCCACGCACCCCTGAACTCCTCTTCGCCATCTCCACTCAGCAATCACTGCAGCCTTCCACCCCAGTGGGGACCTGAGCCTGGAGAGGGTCGGGGTGGGGGTCTATGTACTTGCCAGCATCTAAAGGATCCCAGGCTGACAGCACCACAGCATGTTTGATGGGTGACTCAGTGCCGACAAGCCTGTTGCCCATCCCTAGATTTCTAAAATATCCCAGGAAGGAGGTTGTAATACTCGTGGGGTTACCTGTCCACAGTGGATTGGGGCGGTGGGCCTGTGGGAAGGGGAGACCCCTGGCTCAGCTTCTCTGCCTCGGTGCTGCAGCCGGTGGCCCATGTGCATTCCTGTCACAGGGCAGCCCCTGCATGCCCATAAAGGTTGCATTTGCCCTGAAAGCATTTCCATGCCTGGTAGTGCAACAAATAAGAACACCATGACAGGTCCAGAGAGAGATGGCAGAAGGAAAACTATATTTTAGTACCTATAATGGCACTTTTTTCCTGCTCTTTGAACAAGAAACCCTGCATTTGTATTTTATTTTAGTGTGCCATAGATTATGCAGCTGGTCCTGTCTGAACTGCAAAGTCTCCTTCTAACTCCTACTAATTCTGTAGGAAACCCACATTTGAGCTACTGACGAGGTGTCTGACGAGCAAAGAAGTTGGGTTTTCCTTTTGAGACAAAGTCCACAGACATTGTAATGTTTATGAATAACCTCTGTCCTCACCTAAGCATTTTCAGTGCTCTGAGTAACTGAATTCTGTAAACGGCTCTGGGAAAAGCTGTGCAGTGAGAGAGCTAGCCGGGTCCCCACTGGGCGTCTCTGCATGTCACCAGAAAGCTGAGTGTGGTTGAGCTCCAATTACAGGACATTTAACAAGACACAAAGCCCTGTTGTTTGTGCTGTGTCTGCTGCATTCAGGCAGCTCCCTTCCGAGTCCTTGGAGAAAATCCACAAACACAGGGCAGGTGCAGCCATCTGCACATTTTGGGGCTGTGATTCTTATGAGATACCTGGGTTGGGAGCTGGGGGAGAGAGCGTCTGTGCTCTGCGGCTGTGAGGTGTGCTGCCTTCTGCATGGTGCTTGTCAGCTGTGCATGGAAAGGTCCTTCAGTAAGGGGCTGGTGCGCACCAGGCAGAGGGGAGGGGTAGGGTTATTTTTAGTGGTGGCCAGGCTGATAATACCAAACCTTACTATTGCTAGAGTATACTGGCCAATTCTGAACTCCTGTTCAGATTCTGTACTCAAAGCTTTTAAAATAAATGCCTATAATGAGAGTGATTTGGTTTTTGGTTTTGGTCTGTTCAGCATGACTTACTGTGGAGGCCTGGGTCTCTACCTGTACTGACTTCCCCCAATGCAAGTGACAGAGTCCCCACTGTGTGCCAGGGGTGCTTTTATGTATGTTTCTTCAATTTAGTCTTCCTGGGACCCCTGTGGGCTGAGTACCTTCAAAGAAGACAATAAAACCACCTCTTGTTCATCTCAGCAGCAAGAAGCAGCCATACTGGATGGGGCTTCCAACAGAGGCTGTTTCTACCTGCAGGACAGACCACCCTTTGTGGTCAAGGGTAGCTTGGGGCTAGGGGTTTCTCCAGAAGGAGTTGGGAATGGAGAGACTGAGACCAGGGGACACCACAGGCTCTTATCCTTCCTTCGGGGTCTCCTCTCTCCCTTTTGGCCGACTCCGGTGTTCACATTTATACCTGCCAGAAGGAAACCTCAATCAATATATCTCCCCTTTATCTCCTTCCCTCCTCCCCACCTGGTCTTGGAGTTTAATCTTTTTTTTTTTTTTTAAGATTTTTATTGAGGAGTTGCGGGGATGGGAACAGTGCTGGGGAATTGGGGGAAGGGAAACAGACAAGTTGCTGTCGTTTTGTTCTTCAGTCTAGTTGTGGAGGACGTTGCTTCACTGGNCCTCACCCGGGAAGAGCGCAATGATAATACCAACATGGGCCAGTGAAGCAATGTCCTCCACAACTAGACTGAAGAATAAAAGGACAGCAACTTGTCTGTTCCCCTTCTCCAATTCCCCAATGCTGTTCCTTCCCCCAATTCCCCAATAAAATCTTCAAAAAGAAAACAGAAACATAAAATCCAGCACACGGGTACCCCTCCCCCAAATACACACCCTTATGGAAATGGAATATTTAAAATAGCTCCTGTGATTGTTTCTCTGAGAAGAAGACAGTACCATCTATGCACTAGCACATGTGGTGTGTGGTTGTTTTCCCAAGCATTTGTTCACCTTGATCCTGGGACACAGACGCCATGTAGCTGTGCTGATTCTAACAGGCAAGCAAAGCCTCTAGGTGTTGGGGTGTCAATGTGGAGATGTGTGCCCAATGAGCATCAAGAAGAACTCAGCGCCCTGTCCCCCAACACACACACACACACACAACACACACACACACACACACACACACACACACAGCTCAGTCCCAAGCCCATTGCTTACCCTTCTGATCCCTGTTCCTCTCTAGCACCTGGGGTCCTCTGACAGGGTGAAATGTGTGCTCTGCAAGCATAATGGATAAAGGGAGAGCTCATGGTTATTGGAACATAGAGTTTTCTCTAGTCATATATGGAATTTTAAATCTCATGAAATCCTCCCTGATGTCTAAATCGAGTTTCAGACCTGAGGGCTTCTCCTATAATAACAGCTCATGAAATTCCTGGCCACATTTACAGATCCCAAAACATATGAGGTCACCTTAGGCCTTGAGCATTTTGCAATTATCAGAATGTGGTAAAAAGGGTTGTATTTTACCAGTCAGGATGTGGGCCAGGAAGAAAGGATGTTGGCCTCCAAAGAGGTGTACCTACCCCCACAGACGCACGTGGGAGCCCAAGACAGGAACGCTTTCTTCTTCTCCAGGAGAGAGTAGCTGCAGGACAGGACCAGCCCGAGGCTCTTCTGCAGGATGGAATCTGACTGAGGAGCCTAGAGAGTAAACTGACTGTAGACTGACTCTCACACTGCTTACTCTAGCTTCAGAAACTTCTGGAAAATCTTGAAATTCATATGACCCAGGAGATATTAAGAAAAGTTAGCAGAGAGTTAACACTGGTTGTGTCAGAAAAGTCCAAGGAGCAGTGTACTCTCCCTACAGGTAAAGTATGTTTATTTTATTTCCTCAGAAAATAACATTTACTGTATTTTCCTAATTATAAAAGCAATCCATGTATCCATATTTATGGGGGGGGGGAACTCTACAATGCCCAGAAAATGATATAAAAATTGCTTTTTAACACCTTGGCCCAGAGAGTACTATTAACACTTTTATATATTTCCTTCCACTTAAAGGGCTTTTTTTAAAAAAGATTTTATTGGGGAATTGGGGGAGGGGAACAGCGCTGGGGAATCAGGGGAAGGGGAACAGACAAGTTGCTGTCGTTTTGTTCCTCAGTTTAGTTGTGGAGGAAGTTGCTTCACTGGCCCATGTTGGTATTATCATTGTGCTCTTCCCGGGTGAGGCAGATCTGTCGCTGACCTCTGGACGGTCGCTCACGGTGGCTCTTGGCAGCTCACGCTGGCTGCCAGCCGCTCACGGTAGCTCTTGGCAGCCCACTGCAGCAGGGGCTGCAGCCTACGCCATCGCTGGCGACTCATGACAGCCCAGCTCCAGGTCGAGTTGTTGTTCACCATCTTAGCTGTAGAGGGCAGTGTCACTGGCCCCCATGTGGGATCCGAACCGGGGCCCTGCTGCTCAGAGCTGGTGTCCCAAGCCA